TTCCCCGACCAGCTCACAACAAGCAGGAACAACAATTGTAGATAGCATTTTGTTTATTTAATCTTATATTAAAAAATTACATTGATTGAATAGATTTTAATTTTATGTTATTTAATCTGCTGATGCCATGAAGTTGGAAAACTGATATTGCTGCAGTGTTCTTTCTGAGAGATAAAGCAACGCATTAACAGCTATTTGATTTCTCTGTTTGGTTTATAATACTTAAGGAGTCACTAACAATGAAACACCTGTTGCAAATGGATATTTGTGATTACTGAGGACTATCATCATAGTACTCCAGACAGATCCATAGATGCTCTGATCTCCTCATCAGTAGCTCATAAATAGTAAAACCAAAGGCCCTGTACGTTTGGTGAAATGTTCATATCTAGCTACTCTAGGTTGCACCCCCCATATCCACCAACCTGGACAAGGATACGGAGTCCTTCTTGTTGTTGTGATCTTCTTCACGATATGAATTTTGCATGGCCTTAATAACATAAGTCTTATCCACTTCCGAGCCAGTCGTGGCAACCATCTTGTCTGTCAGATATTTTGCGAGCTCATAACCTTGAACGTCCGCATGGCCTGGCACAGAAATAAAGTTTAGGTACGTTTTTTTAAAAGTATTAAATGAGAGAATCTATTTTCATCTGATGAAGCCAGCCTACTCAAGTGGGAAGTAGTCAAACGTCAGACTGTCTGCATCCCATATCATGGGGCAGGTGTTTGATCATTAGATAAACAAAAATTCCTTCTCCAAACCTCAAGGTTTGAGGGTACATAGTGCTAGCCTCACCAGCAACAATTCGGCACTCGTGTGATGTGGTCCCTATCATGCTAACCACCTCCACCTCCTTGAACATTTCCATGCACAGATATTAGACTGAATTGAACTAAAACACTGGGTGTCCCTTAGAACACATATAAGCACAACAGGACTTATGCTTGTAATGGCGGTGGTGATGTGTTTATTTCTGCTATGTGTGGACATGTATGGCACACCCTGATAAACCAATTTATACAAAACATTGGAAAATAATTGCACTTACATGTAAAAATCAAATATCAAATTAACAGCAAGTTAATAATTCAGGTTAAAAGAGCCATTCAGCAAGGATATGAATAAAAAGTAATTTTATCAATAACAATTTACAACAGTATAAAAGTTTATATCACCAATTAATTACAAGCTGAATAGCAATTTTTACTAACACCAAGTAATCAAACAGAACTGACATCTGAGAAAGAGGGCACTAAAGATGGACTGGCATCATTAAAAAGACACTGTACATTCAGATGACACAGAAGCCAGTGCCATCCATCAAGCACTGGATCATAAACTTGTTCTTCCCATGACTCTTGACAGTGAAGGTAGAAGATGATGATGATAATAAAGAAATCAAACATCAGAACTGACAAGGAAGCTACACCCCAAAAAAGGTCTAACCCACAGGCATAAATGCACAGTGATTTGTTTTTGGTAACTGTTGCTTCTAAGTTCTATAGGAGCTGGCCAGAACACGATACTTTTGTGTGTGGGTAAAGACAGAACTTGCACACAAAACCAACAAGGAATAGACTAAAAAAAAAAAAAGAAAAATGAATGTGCGCTCTCATCCATAGTGGGATATCATCCAGATCCTCTGCCCCCACCCCTGAGTCAATCTTCTGCTGCACTGTCCACTTTATCTCAGAGATCCTTCCCCAACATCCACTTTATCATAAAGTAGCTCACGATCCTCAGAAGCAGCAGTTAATCTATCAGCCTGTCTATTACCCCACATACATGAATATTACTGAAAGAAATCCATCTCTTGCTGTTAATTATACCAATGACAGTAACAATATAATCAGTAAGACCAGCATAGTTTAACCTTTTTTTTTTTTGCACTTGTGGACCTGCAAAATAGGAAACATATTTTGGGGACCAGTTGATGGTTTGGTTAAACCGATGGATCAACATCATCGCACAAGGGTAGTAACCCATAAGTGTGCCCTTCTACTTCTACCTCAAGACTGAGTCCAAAGAATCTCAGCGCAGCACAGAAACTCTGTAGTACCAGTGAGGATCCTGAAATACTTTGGGTAAATTTTAAACTCCAAATTTTGCCCGGGCAGCGCCGTTAGGCTACTCATTTTCTATTTCCAACTGGCCAAGGGATTTTGTATGTGCGCAACAATACACACAAGCGTCCAATCTTGCTACCCAGAGACAAGGGAAAAATTGCTAGAAGTCCTCGTGAAAAAATCCCAGCTTTCACCGGGGCTTGAACATGGGACCTCTAGCACTCGAGGCAGACACCATGCATCGAGACTACATTGACCCCAGACTAGCTGATGACAAGGCAGAAAAAAAAACAGTAGTAATGAAGACAACACATCTGAATAAATTAGTACCACATCCCAGTAGTGGCCGTGCTACCAGGCTCCTGTTTAGGCGTTATCTGTAAAATATTTCTTGGCAATGGGGTCATTGACAGCCTGCTCCCAGTTGACTCCATCAAACTTCACCAATGTCACCGATTTATAGGTTCCTGGATCTAAGCAATAATAATTGATGCCTGAAAGTGGACATCAAATACACAATATCTAATTAGTTGCACATATAAAAGAATGTAAGTTTCAGTTATATAAAAAATATATTGGGACTGAGGATTAGAAGTTAGAGAATGTGCTTCACAATCCATGACGTAGCAGGGCTTGAGTTCTGTGGCAGTTTGGAGAAAATAAACTGTTGTCATGGCTTTCAAAACAATTGTACAAGAGTTACACTGTGGCAGAAATTGGATCCTCACCACTTAATGTTCCAAACGACAGAAGTGAATGCAACCAAACTCCATTATGGAGATAGCATAAGTTGACTATAACCCCCTTTCTACATCTGAATGTCAGATGGAGAGCATAAGAAGAAATAAGCCCTTTATAGAACTCATGATAAGTCCTTTATAGAACTCATGATAAGCCCTTTATAGAACTCATGATAAGCCCTTTATAGAACTCATGATAAGCCCTTTATAGAATTCATGATAAGCCCTTTATATAACTCATGATAAGTCCTTTATAGAACTCATGATAAGTCCTTTATAGACCTCATGATAAGTCCTTTATAGAACTCATGATAAGCCCTTTATAGAACTCATGATAAGTCCTTTATAGAACTCATGATAAGTCCTTTATAGAACTCATGATAAGTCCTTTTTAGAACTCATGCTAAGCCCTTTATAGAACTCATGATAAGTCCTTTATAGAACTCATGATAAGTCCTTTATAGAATTCATGCTAAGCCCTTTATAGAACTCATGATAAGTCCTTTATAGAACTCATGCTAAGCCTTTTATAGAACTCATCCTGATCCCTTTACAGAACTCGTGCTGAGCCCTTTATGGAACTCATGCTAAGTCCTCTATACTTTTTCAACATTAGCTGGATTTTGTTTGCATCTGGCAGACAACAAATGCAGACAACAAAGTCCAGCCGCTGTGGAGGCAGAAGTGCAGGCCTTGACACAGCTAGGGTTGGAGGGAAGGACGATTCTGATGCTTTTGCCTTGACTGCAAGCAGTCATGACTATGGAGGTCACGGCAGTAACACAGCTGAAGACACAGACCTTCACTCATGCTTTCTCCGTGACTCAATGAGTAGGCTCATAACACAGCTGAAGACACAGACCTTCACTCATGCTTTCTCCATGACTCAATGAGTAGGCTCATAACACAGCTGAAGACACAGACCTTTACTCATGCTTTCTCCGTGACTCAATGAGTAGGCTCATAACACAGCTGAAGACACAGACCTTCACTCATGCTTTCTCCATGACTCAATGAGTAGGCTCATAACACAGCTGAAGACACAGACCTTCACTCATGCTTTCTCCATGACTCAATGAGGCTCATCACACAGCTGAAGACACAGACCTTCACTCATGCTTTCTCCATGACTCAATGAGTAGGCTCAGGAAGACAGAGTTGGGCTGAGTCTGAAGACCATGGGTTGATGTCTCTGAGGCAGTCATGGCTGATGAAGATTAGTTTCATTTTTGTGTCAGGATATGGAGGTTGACAAGGAAATGAGCGAGCTGATAGTTCTGCAGGTAACACTACTGTACAGGGAGGGCAAGCCATGTATTAAGCTGATATAGTCAATGCTCTTCAAGAAGCTAAACCAACCAAGTAAGGACTGTGAATCTGCAACCAAGGTTAACAGGGTGTGGCCAAACAAAAGCACTATGCAGGAAGCCAAAGAAGAATAATAAACCAACACTGGTGTCATTAGCTGCTACAAACTGAAAGATTTAAAAAGGACGGAATCTGAGCACTTATGGAGTGTATGGTACCATGTGCAGTGAGGATGATGTTCCCACTAACTAACTAGCTGGATTTTCCTCAAAGTTTCTATGGAATGAGACAGTCAGTATTACAGCTACCCTCTACAGTTGCGTCATATGGCATGCATGGTAGGTTACATTCTTACTATTCTTTTCTTTCCTTACTAGCCCATTTAATGTATAGGCAGTGCTTTACTCAATACCACATATGCCCACACCTACTTGTGTATACACACGCATACATGTATACATACAGCCACACCTATACTTACTAAGCCCGTTTGGGTTTGACCTGGGAGTATAGAAACTCTCCACACCACATGTTTTACAGAAAGTATGTTGAGCCTGTCTGGTGTTGTAAGTATATGTGGTTATGTTGTCTGCTCCCTGTGAATAGAAGACAAGGATATGAAGCTTTCACTGACAGTACACAGTCACAAACATACAGTAATCACACAAATATGTTCAGAGCACCCAGGTAACCTAAAATGTGTACCAGGAAATATCCTGTGAAGTGTCCATTAAAGAACGGGTCCAGCCTCATATTCATGATGCTCCAATAACATGAAAAGGGTCTTTTACATGAACAATTAGTACTTTAGAAATGGGGCTGGGGGAATGCCTACTGCTGAAGTTGTAACACACAACTAAAATAACATAGAATGTAAATGGGAAACTCAGTGACAAGGAAAGATACTTAGTTAACAAAGAATTATTTTACAGTCTAAAAAAAAAAGCAATGCTCAACAACAAAAACTAAATACAATAATTCGACAAAAATAATGTCATCCCCACAATGAAGGGGGGAAAAACTATGTATTTCTGTTGTTCTCCTGGTCATGCAGATGATATTTTGTTTTCTTTGTGAAATCTTCTTCTTCGGCTCACTGGCTGTAAACTCAGCTGAATGTCCCTGGTGTTGGTCCTATTCTAGGCTTTTCTTCCCCCAGTACTTCAGTGTTGCATGCATATACATTTTAAAGATCTGGGGTATCTGTGTGCAGACTGCTGGTTCTTTGCTTGTCAGGCAGATGCACTCTGACCTAGAAGAAAACATTAATCTTATCTACATTGACCAGGCTCCTGGCTGAAAACTTGTATCTAGAATGTCCACAGACAACAGGTTGTGGTTCCCCCCAGCCAGGCTCTTTTCCCCTGCGCAAGTCAAATACATGGCTTTACTTTTCTACTTTTCTGTGAGATCCTTTTAATTCTGCAGTTGAGTTTTCCTGTTTTCTTCATTGGTAAAGACTGGTTGAAACCTTTGCAGCTGTGTCTGCTGCCTGGAATAGGTATGAGAAAATACCCTGGGAAGTAAACACTGACCACTTCACCCACTGAGTCTCTGTGGTGGAGAGGGGGGGGGGGGGGTTCTCAGTGGCAGAAAAGGGTCAAACTATACCTCATGCTCTGAAGGTCCTGGGTTCGCTTCATGTTGGTGTGGTTCAGTTCAAGAGTTCAGCTTTTACGGAGATCCCTGGGGATCATCGTCAGAGCTATGGAGGTCGTGCTCTGTGTGGCACTATCAGCAGGCAGCTAGCTGTAATGCAGAGAGAGACTGAGCCATATGGGATAAAATTTAGTGCAATGAAGTCGATCCTCTCACCTCTTACCTTCACCCACTGAGTGTGATCGCTTAATGAAAATAGAATTTAGCACCTTATGCCTCATGTGCCGCTTGTGTGAAAAGATTACTTTGTACTTTTACAAATGTCTCAACAAGGACAGAACATTCAAAAATACCTGCAATAAAGTGAAATCTGACTCTGGAACAATAAAGCCTTTAATCTGTTTCTTCACACAAATACTGCAACTGCAAACAATCCATCAATAGATTGATCAGTTGTACAAACATTGGCAAAAACATTCAAATAAACACACTAACAGGATATATCTGGTCTTTTGTTTTGGTTAGTTCATTTGTAGGTTGGCTGGATAGTTGGTTGGTAGGTTGGCTGGATAGTTCATTGGCAGGTTGACTGGATAGTTGTGTGTTAGGTTGGCTGGATGGTTGATAAGGTCGGATAGCCGGTTTGGTAGGTGGGCTGTCTGGATGGTTGGTAAGGTTGGATGGCTGGTTTCATAGGTAGGTTGGCTGGATAGATGGTTGGTAAGGTTGGATGGCTGGTTTGGTAGGTAGGTTGGCTGGATAGATGGTTGGTAAGGTTGGATGGCTGGTTTGGTGGCTGGTTGATTGGTTTGCTTGTTGGTTTGCTTGTTGGTTTGCTGATTAATGCTTTAAGTAGTGAGGGACAGCATACACTCACTGGTTACAGTATATACAGTCCACATTCATTTACTGTACCTATCCCATTCTTAAGCTATGTTAACCTATTTTGTCCCAGCTGTTACTATTCGACATCTAGCAAAGCCATATTTTTCATCTTCATGAGACTAAAGACTTTAGCACAGACACTGCTTGTAAGAATTACCTGCAGCAGTCAAGATTATACACTGGGAAAGATAACATTCTATAGTCAGAAGGGCATTTAATGAGTTAGGAAAGATAACATTTCATAGTTGAGTATGCTGTTACTGTCTTTTTCTATACAAATGCCTGCAATCTTTCCACTAATACTGGTAGCTGATAAAATGAAGTCACCACCTGTGATTAAGATATCTCTGTTTGTTATATTCCTAAAGCTGTTTCTCAACCTTGATGAAATATGGCAATCTTTCAACCATTCAGTCCTAAAACAGATTATTTAAAACATCAGTGGTGGTAGTGATTACTGTCTGTGTAAGTGAGTGTCTGTGTATAAGTTGGTGTGTGTGTGTGTGTGTGTGTGTGTGTGTGTAAATAGGTGAGTGTGTGTGTAAGTGAGTGTATGTGCATGTGTACATATATAAGAAAGATTAGTGAATAGAAAATAAAAGGGGGAAAAAACATGCACACACAATGACACACAGGCACCCATCACAAACATACTCACAGAGACACACATATACACATACATACACTAATACACCCAAAGGGAGAGAGAGAGACAGAGGCAGAAGAAATATAAAAGATACGGAAATATGTTTATAGAGCAGTAACAAAGAAAGTAGCTACGTTGTTCTAGTGTGCATTTTTCTGTGAGAGAAAGAGAGCAGCATAGGCTGATAGACAGAATGAAACCTAATGAAATGGAGTTAGGCTAGAGAGAGAAGAGGAGAGAGAAAATACTGCGATGAATACACAACAATTGCAGTAAATAAAGAAGTGATTTAAGGTACAGACAGAATGAGAGAAGATACTGCAATAAATACACAACAATTGCAGTAAATAAAGAAGTGATTTAAGGTACAGACAGAATGAGAGAAGATACTGCGATGAATACACAACAATTTCAGTAAATACAGAAGTGATCTAAGGTACAGACAGAATGAGAGAATTTACTGCGATAAATACACAACAATTTCAGTAAATACAGAAGTGATCTAAGGTACAGTCAGAATGAGAGAAGAGACTGCGATGAATACACAACAATTACAGAAATTACAGAAGTGATTTGAGGTACAGTTAGAATGAGAGAAGATACTGCGATGAATACACAACAATTTCAGTAAATACAGAAGTGATCTAAGGTACAGTCAGAATGAGAGAAGATACTGCGATGAATACACAACAATTTCAGTAAATTACAGAAATTACAGAAGTGATTTGAGGTACAGTTAGAATGAGAGAAGATACTGCGATGAATACACAACAATTACAGTAAATACAAAAGTGATCTAATGAACAGACAGAATGAGAGAAGATATTGCGATGAATACACAACAATTACAGTAAATTGATGGATGGAGACCAAAATCAAACTCACAACCATTAAGGCATAAGACTAATTGCTTGAACACTTCACCACACAAACCCCTAAGAGAAGTGATGTGTTTATACAGGATTTTTCCAGAAGAATGGAGGTATATGAGTACTCTAGAAAAGTAAGGATAAAAATAATCCAGGGGAAATATCATTTATACAGCAATGATCCAGAGAAGTCAGGGATCTGTTGTGTGTGTAAGCAATAAATGATGAGGACATATGAAAAGGAAAAAAGCCAGGCTCGCTAGCATAGTTGGCTAAAGTGGATTGTGCGGTGACCAGGTGACGAACTCCTTGTGGTCAGGGTTCATTCCCGGGGGTAGGCAGAAAAGCCACATTTCTCCCAGATTTACGGTATTTACAATAGAATCAAGGCCGAAAGGTTGCGATATCCATAATACAGAGCCTAAGGGTTAACAACTCATGGCTTCTGGATACTAAAACAAACAAACTGTACAAGTTAATACTACCTATTTAAGTCTGGGTAGACATGGATGCAAAAATCAATTTAGTTACAAAATTTCGTTACACAGTGACTTCCCCATCCTTTGGAGAAGATGATATGTTTGGGGGAAAAGGGGGGGGGGGGGTGTTTATGCCATACACAGTTAGCTGAGAGAGCTTAAAATATTATTTTAATGTTCTCATTTCTTAATTATTTCTATTTTAATAATTTAGCCAGGTGATGATTTTTCAATCCTACGGAGAGGGAAATATGACTGGTGGAAAGACGGGAGGGGGGGGGGGGGGGTTGGGGGGGGTCATGCCAAACACAGTTAGCTGAGAGAGCTTAAAATATTATTTTAAAGTTCTCATTTCTTAACTATTTCTATTTTAATAATTTTGCCATGGATGATTTTTCAGTCCTTCGGAAAGGGAGATATGACTTTGCCAGGTGATGATTTTTCAATCCTTGGGAGAGGAAGATGTGAGTGGGGGAGCGGGAGAGGGGGGGAGGGGTTATGCCAGACACCGTTAGCTGAGAGAGCTTAAAATATTATTTTAATGTTCTCATTTCTTAATTATTTCTATTTTAATAATTTCGCCAGGTGATGATTTTTCAATCCTACGGAGAGGGAAATATGACTGGTGGAAAGGGGGGGGGGGGGGGGGGGGGGGGGGGGGGGTTATGCCAAACACAGTTAGCTGAGAGAGCTTAAAATATTATTTTAAAGTTCTCAGTTCTTAATTATTTCTATTTTAATAATTTTGCCATGGATGATTTTTCAATCCCTCGGAGAGGGATATATGATTGTGTCGAGGGAAGAGGAAGGGGGTATGCCAGACACCGTTAGCTGAGAGAGCTTAAAATATTATTTTAATGTTCTCATTTCTTAATTATTTCTATTTTAATAATTTCGCCAGGTGATGATTTTTCAATCCTACGGAGAGGGAAATATGACTGGTGGAAAGGGGGGGGGGGGGGTTATGCCAAACACAGTTAGCTGAGAGAGCTTAAAATATTATTTTAAAGTTCTCAGTTCTTAATTATTTCTATTTTAATAATTTTGCCATGGATGATTTTTCAATCCTTCGGAGAGGGATATATGATTGTGTCGAGGGAAGAGGAAGGGGGTATGACAGACACTGTTAGCTGAAAGCTATTTTCTTTCCTCTTCATTTCACCTATCTGGGTCACAGCAACGTGTGGCCAGGTACAGCTAGTACTATAATAAATTCTCATCAGCCTGCAGACAAACAACCCTGTACAAGCCAACATAGCAAACAACAAAACAACTAAGAATCTGCCACACTTACTTGCAGTCATGAGCCACTAGATTCTCGGGTGCCCTAACTTTAAACCTGACTGCTCCACAGTGGCATCCACCAGTATGCTCCACCAGCTTAGACTGTGCGGTTCCTTCCTCTACAATGAATGGCAAGAGAATGCTGCATTAAAATGTGTGTTGTCTGTAGGGAAACAGTGTTTTTGTAGAATAAACAGATGTATGACCCCATTTCTTTGTGACTGTGGTTTATGTGGTCTCAGAACCAAGTTGATGGCAGCAGGAATAGCACAGTGGCTTGTTATGTCACTATCACATGGGTTGTATTACTTCCCCACATTATCACATGGGTTGTATTACTTCCCACACATATTCACATGGGTTGTATTACTTCCCACACATATTCACATGGGTTGTATTACTTCCCCACACTATCACATGGGTTGTATTACTTCCCCACACTATCACATGGGTTGCATTACTTCCCCACACTATCACATGGGTTGCATTACTTCCCACACTATCACATGGGTTGCATTACTTCCCCACACTATCACATGGGTTGCATTACTTCCCCACACTATCACATGGGTTGTATTACTTCCCACACTATCACATGGGTTGTATTACTTTCCACACTATCACATGGGTTGCATTACTTCCCCACACTATCATATAGGTTGTATTACTTCCCCACACCATTACATAGGTTGCATTACTTCCCACACATATTCACATGGGTTGCATTACTTCCCCACACTATTACATGGGTTGCATTACTTCTCCACACTATCACAGGGGTTGTATTACTTCCCCACACTATCACAGGGGTTGTATTACTTCCCACACATATTCACATAGGTTGCATTACTTCCCCACACTATCACATGGGTTGTATTACTTCCCCACACTATCACATGGGTTGCATTACTTCCCCACACTATCACATGGGTTGCATTACTTCTCCACACTATCACAGGGGTTGTATTACTTCCCCACACTATCACATGGGTTGCATTACTTCCCCACACTATCACATGGGTTGTATTACTTCCCCACAATATCACATGGGTTGCATTACTTCCCACACTATCACATGGGTTGTATCACTTTCCCACACTATCACATGAGTTGCATTACTTCCCACACTATCACGTGGGTTGCATTACTTCCCACACTATCATGTGGGTTGTATTACTTCCCACACTATCACATGGGTTGCATTACTTCCCACACATATTCACATGGGTTACATTACTTCCCACACTATAACATGGGTTGTATCACTTTCCCACACTATCACATGGGTTGCATTACTTCTCACACTATCACATGGGTTGCATTACTTCCCACACTATCGCATGGGTTGTATTACTTCCCACACTATAACATGGGTTGCATTACTTTCATAAACTATCACATGGGTTATATTACTTCCCCACACTATCACATGGGTTGCAATACTTCTCCACACTATCACATGGGTTGCATTACTTCCCCACACTATCACAGGGGTTGTATTACTTCCCACACATATTCACATAGGTTGCATTACTTCCCCACACTATCACATGGGTTGTATTACTTCCCCACACTATCACATGGGTTGCATTACTTCCCCACACTATCACATGGGTTGCACTTCGCCACCTATTATTACTTCTCCACACTATCACAGGGGTTGTATTACTTCCCCACACTATCACATGGGTTGCATTACTTCCCCACACTATCACATGGGTTGTATTACTTCCCCACAATATCACATGGGTTGCATTACTTCCCACACTATCACATGGGTTGTATCACTTTCCCACACTATCACATGAGTTGCATTACTTCCCACACTATCACGTGGGTTGCATTACTTCCCACACTATCATGTGGGTTGTATTACTTCCCACACTATCACATGGGTTGCATTACTTCCCACACATATTCACATGGGTTACATTACTTCCCACACTATAACATGGGTTGTATCACTTTCCCACACTATCACATGGGTTGCATTACTTCTCACACTATCACATGGGTTGCATTACTTCCCACACTATCGCATGGGTTGTATTACTTCCCACACTATAACATGGGTTGCATTACTTCCCCACACTATAACATGGGTTGCATTACTTCTCCACACTATCACATGGGTTGCAGTCTCCCCCACACTATCACATGGATTGCATTACTTCCCACACTATAACATGTGTTGCATTACTTCCCCACACTATCACATGGGTTGCATTACTTCCCCACACTATCACATGGGTTGCATTACTTCCCACACTATAACATGGGTTGCATTACTTCCCCACACTATCACATGGGTTGCATTACTTCTTCAGCAATGATCTGATATCCAGGAGTGGCACAGATGTCAGTAACTGTACTTGCCAAGACAGTGGTGTGTGTTCCATCTCCAGCAGAGGCAGGACTATTTATTACTGACCAGTCTGGCTCTACTGCCACCCCAACCTCATAAACATGGCTACTAGACACTGTATAGAATTTCTTTCAAAAGTGTCAGGAAGAAGAAATGGCAAGAAAAAATGGCAAGAAAGAGAAATGGTCACCCAATAACATGTCCAAGTCTAGAATATGTGAAAAATATTATATCCTGGGTTTCTGTATCCACTGCCGTGGCAGAGCGGCTAGACGCGTGCCGCGGATTGGTTGGTCATGCGTTCCCTCTCTGGTGGAGACGGACTTTTCTTCAAAAAATGACCTTGGCTCCCAGGTCGACCCAGCCTTGAGTGGGTACCAGGTGCAATCCCGGGAAGTAGCTTGATGCTGACCACATCACCCATCTTGTGCCGTTGGTCTATAAAAATATAGGTCTAGCCCTATATGCCCTATATGCCTAAAGGTGTGGAAAGGGTCCTTTACTTTTTTTTACTTTCTGTATCCACTATGGGACTACATTTGCCCAGTGTTATGAAGCTGGCTTAACCTCCGAGATAAAAATCTGGTTCTGATATATATCTGACCCTGGACTACTGAACAGATACTGGAGAGAACCCTGCACTACTGAACAGATACTGGAGGGGAAGGTCGAAGGCAAGAGAGCAAGAGGTAGACAGTGCTACAAGTGGGAGGATAACATCAAGAAATGGACAAAAGTGTTGACCATGACAAGAGACAGAGCGTGTTTCGAGATCTTTTGCAGCGAACCTTTATTGAGGAGATGGCACCTGACTGATTGGTAACTGAACAGTCCAGTAAATGCTCAAGCCACTACCCTGCAGTAATTGTCCTATTCACCTCATTGCATCCGCACTTCCTGTCCACATATCATACCCATGCCATCCCCCTGTGTTCCAGGGCCTCATTAGCTGGATGTTTCATTGTACTTATTTCTCCCATTATGCCATCAGTTTGTTTGCTAATGTTTAGCTGTTGCCAATAAATATTGTGGCTGGACCATAATATTTAAAATCCCTCATGTTTGTCTGTACTGCAGTAGCAATAACAAAAGTTGCCCTGTCTGTTTTATTGTCTCACACTTGTAAACTCCCTTACCCCCTTACTTCTTTCCCCTCAAAGATCATTTGCTGCTATTTCCCTAGCACTGAAAGTTAGTTGTAGATGATTCAAATATGGATGAACATATATATTATCTTTATCATTTCCGCCCCCCCCCCCCCCCCCCCCATATTCTCCCTTTTTAAAATCCTGGTTTGGCTAAAAATGTTAAATGTTGAATTAAGAATCTACATCACAGCACTCGGGACACTCCCATAAGCGCTCCGTCCTCATCTTAAGCAGCAAGCGAAGAGTTAAAATTCCGATGGTATTAGTAACAGTCTGATTGCATATCCGTCTCACCCGAGAGTCGAGTGTTGGCCAGATCCCCTTGTAACTCCTCGCAGTGCCATTCTCCTCAGACCGTGGTTTGGCTACTAAAGCTTTAATTATGAATCAACGTCACAGCATTCAGGACATTCCCATAAGCGCTCCATGCCATCTTCAGTAGCCAGCATAGAGTTTGATTCCATTAGTACCAATGGCAGTGTGACTGTATATCTGTCTCGCCTTTTCCTTGAGTGCTGGTAGCTGACCAGATCCCTTGGTCATTCCTCGCAGTACCATTCTCTTCAAACCATGATGATCAATCTGTGCCTCCTCACTGTTCACTCGCCCCCAAAGGGCCCTTACAAAATCTAGGTTGTCATGCATTAGTTCATCACCAGTTTGTGCAGAACCAGCTAGACTATCTGCCTGTTCATTTCCTAAAACATGAGCATATCCTGGGGAGCGATGCTTCCCACTCTTTATGGAGCATACCAGTCTCCACCTTTCTCAACATGTTCTGTGAATCGGTTACAGTTAAGACATGTGTGTGTAGCTAAATCTCAAGTCAGCAAAAAGCTGTCGTGACTGCCTCTATTCTCACACTAAATGTTGTGGTGTTACATGCCAGGCTTTCAACATTTATACTGTTAATTCACCCCTTTAATCTTTACTGTTTAAATCTTATTATGTAAGTGTGTACTGGAAACGGTGGGAGCACAGCTTGATGGCTGGGGGTCTTGTGTCTGAATGCCCAATGCTGCTGATTTTTATAATATTAACAGATCTGGGCTGCCTGTCGACAGCCTAAAACTGATACCTGGAAATGTCCATGGCAGTAAAGATCCTTGGCCTGATACTAACCACATTACCCATGGCATGTTGAAAGGTCTATAAAAATAAGTCCAATACGCATATGGTGGAAAAGGGGCTTATAAATATGACAAAAGGAACAACTACATCTACATGTTCATTTATGTGTGTGTCAAATTAATATGACGACAACTTATAGTTCTACTGACCTCTGTTCCAAAAGGTTATTTGATCCAGTAGCTAAAGAGTTCAATAAAATAATCAGATAATTTAAAAGCATTGCAATTAATCCTCTGTGCGTTAACACTGAGGACTTTAGACCTAGTTTCTTGTCAGCCTACTGATCTGTTGGATACTGTTAACACTGTCTGTTGACAGATAATATTTTCGTTTCTATACTAAATGTCCCTGTTTGGGGGTTAACTTCAGTGAAAATATAAGTTACAAAATAATGCGATTTTATATTGGCTTTATTCAAAACAAATATTACCAGGAATCTCTCCCTCCACAACAAAATTAATTCCGTCAGAAGACATATTGTTTCAACATAAGACCGATTACAGCAGACGGCGAACCAGGGTCCACTTTTTAAATCTACAAATATCATAAAAACCTTTCCCTTTATCAGCTTGTGTAGTAGCCACTATTAATTGTGTGACGAAACAAAATACAAGATCACGGAATAAACATTTGACAATTGTAAACGTGCTGGAAGTATATGCTCTAAAGAACTACAGAAAAGGATTAAACAGTACACCGCAAGAACAGGGGTTAGCATATGAGCTGCTACTACATCCAGTGGAACCTCGGGTCATGAACTGAATTCGTTCTTTGACGCCGTTCGTGAACCGAAATGTTTGCAATTCAAACAATATTTCCTAAAGAAGTCAAGGCACATCTAATTAATCCGTCCCAAAAACACATTAAAAAAAACTGTTTCATAGATTTATGTGTGACAAATATATAGTATAAACTATACATATTCGCCCTTCGCCTTGGCTGGGGGGGGGGGGGGGGGGGGCTCTGACAGGCGGGCAGATAGAACACTGCTCTTCTGATCCGGCAGCTTCTGCAACCTGCCTCGTTCCAAACGTACTGGTTTTACCTTTCCTTTGGAGTAAACAAGGCAGGTCGAGGGAGGGATAATTATGCATAGGCAACATATGGTTTCTACAATACTGCCCAGGCTTTGTGCTATGGAGAGGTGGAACTTCATCCCTGGCCTTAATCAGTCTCAGAAACAATTGTTGAAGACTTTTCTTGACACGGGCGGGTCTTGCTAGTCATACTCGCCATCGTCATGGACTGTGAGTCTCATGCCTCCTCATAGCGCAATATAACACTATCGTCGGGAAAGACGGAAAGGTGCAAATGAATGGAACTATACAGTATCACATGACCTTTAGCTGCTGGCACGGGTAGAAGGTAGGGAGGAGGAGGAAGGTTACTCCTTCGAAGGAGAGTCCCATTCCATAATAACGTCATATATTAACTCTTTCAGTCAAAAAAAAATAAAAAAAAATATGATGTATGATTAGCACTTCTGGGAATCCCACCCAACCAGTAATATGTTCTAGTCCTTTACATAACTGGTCATAGCATTCAAAAAAAATCTGGCTTCTCTGTATAACATATCTGGATATGTTCTGCATGAAGTCTAATTAGCAGTTAAAAAAAACAAAAATAACCACACTAACTACACGTCCTACTCGGAATTCAAACAACCGGAACTATAATCACACATTGAACACCTGTTTAATTTCCTGAATACAAAACTAACGTGCTTCACATATAACAATACATTAACAATCAACATGCGCTAAGCACTACAGCTAAACAAGATGAGTTCATCCCCAGCGACCTACAAATACAACTCTCTGAGCGAGGGTGCACATTGAAATCTAGGTCATCTGATTAATGAAGCAAATTTAGGACTAACACAGGTGTAAGAATAAAGCACGTACACGCATTGTGGGATTAAAGCTTATTCACACACTTGTAAGAATAAAGCATGTACACACTAGTGTGAGATTAAAGCTTGTACATACAAGTGTGAGAATAAAGCATGTACACACAACTGTGGCATTAAAGCTTGTACACAGACGTATGAGAATAAAGTATGTACACAAGTGGAGAATAAAGCATGCACACACTAGTGTGAGAATAAAGCATGTACACACAACTGTGGCATTAAAGCTTGTACACACACGTGTGAGAATAAAGCATGTACACACTAGTGTGAGATTAAAGCTTGTACACACAAGTGTGGCATTAAAGCTTGTACACACACGTGTGAGAATAAAGCACGTACACAAGTGGAGAATAAACCGTGTACACACAAGTGTGAGAATAAAGCATGTACACACTAGTGTGGGATTAAAGCATGTACACACGATTGAGAATGAAACGTGTACACACCAGTGTGGAATTAAAACGACGTTGTTCATAAATTCTTTCATGTTATTTCATCTAACCTCCTGTCTTCTAGTAGCATTCGTTCATAAATGGTCTTCGGGGTGTCTCATTTGTCTAATACGAGTATTCCTGTGGCTATTGATTTCGTAACCATAAAATTTGCTGTTTGTTTTCGTCGCACTCCTACATTTCGTGGACAGTCTATCCTTGTGAGTCCCCACAATTCTGGCGTAATTATGCTTGGAATCATCTCAGGCCACATTTGTCTAATTTGAACCTTTCACACACACACACACACACACACACACACACACACACATACACACAAATAGAGACAAATATGATCCTGGGCTATCTGTAGAGCCATACATAAGTTATGTAAAGAGAGGGAAACCAAATACGACTCTGGACTATCAGTTAGGATATGGCTGCGACTCACTACTATCCCGTTCTCTTGGAACTTCACCACGATACCGCACACAGACGTGGCAGATGCATCCATTATTTGTAAAGTCCAGATGACTTAATTGTACCGGGTAATATAGGGCTAGGTCTGTCTCCGCGGAAAGGCTGGTCAGCTGCAGAGAGTGTGGGACAAAGCACCCACTCTGTAGCTCCATCAACGATCCACAGGGATCTGTAGTAAAAACTACGGTATACTGAACGACGCGTCTCGGCTAACCGGCGACTTTAACAAGATAGGCAGTAGAAGCCAAACTAATCCGACTTGACCTCACAAAATCCACGCTGGCCCTCTGCTGGCCCCTGGCTACGACAGTCATGTGACAGCTCCCCAAGTCTGCTGACCGCTGAGCCGCTGACTGCTCTAGCTTATTGTCTGCTGATCTAAGATGGTCTTGGCTGGTCTCACAAAGTGTTGGATTCTCCGCACGGTAACTATAGCTTTCTATTGTTATATTATCTTGTGTGTCCTTCATAACGGTACCCCAGTGAAGCCTGTGTGTCAGTTCTCAGCGGAGATATTCACATTTCAATTACGGAAAATACTCTCAAAATTTATAAGGGTTAAATGACCAAAACAAGATGGGGTCCCAAGTGAAAATTTGACCTGAAGTGACCAAATATATATAAGGCAACCAGGGAACTTGATCTGTGGAGATGTATGAGCACCTACGTACACCAGTTGGCAAGGTACATGATGATCATACAACAGACATGATTCTGTATTCATGCCATCATTTTGTTAATGTTTTAACCTTGCTAATTCCACTAATTCTACAAGATTTGATCACTGATCACACAAAAATGTCTTGGACAGGACCCTATATACTTAACTTGCTATTCTCAGTTATAGTTATTATCACTTGTTTCTATGCCACACTTCACCTAAATGGTATATATACACATACATGCATAGTATATGTACACATACATGCATAGTATATGTACACATACATGCATAGTATATGTACCCAGATACATGCATATTAATCTTTACTTCTGTGTGCATGAATTTCCAGCTCTGTCTGTTGCTGTTTTCTCCCTATAATGTTGACCCATTGCTGTCTCTCCTGCATCTGTTCTGTTTTTTCAAGGCCTGTTTAATGTTTTTCTGTCTTAGTATTTGCTTGGAAAACTGTATTTTAACTATCCTCGGATGTCTCTCAGCCTGACTGCCAGTTATCATTGTTTCACATGCAGGTTCCATATAACACTTCTTACAGTGACTGCCAGCTGTCCAAGTCCCATATGCATACAACAGCACAAGTTCTATTTAGCACTTTCACACTGTATCTGCTTGTTTTGATGCTTGAAATTACTGTTGTTTTTGTTTCCAGAAGTGAATTTTTCACTTTACCACCCCAGTGCCAGAAACAGGTTCCCCAGCCAGCACAGACAACAGCCACACACGCCACAGGATGAACGACTGGAGGCCTTTCTTGTACAAGTGCTATTTAGCACTTTCACACTGTATCTGCTTGTTTTGATGCTTGAAATTACTGTTGTTTTTGTTTCCAGAAGTGAATTTTTCACTTTACCACCCCAGTGCCAGAAACAGGTTCCCCAGCCAGCACAGACAACAGCCACACACGTCACAGGATGAACGACTGGAGGCCTTTCTTGTACAGTGGCTTGGCATCCGTCAAGACTGAGTGTGGTATGTAAATTATCTCTCCCCAGTCTTGCTAGACTTGTACAGTGAGCTGACCTCCGTCATGTGCTATGTAGATTATCTCTCCTCTGTCCCTGCTAGACCTGTACAGTGAACTCGTCTCCATCATGTGGTATGTAGATTATCTCTCCTCTGTCTCTGCTAGACTTGTACAGTGAGCTGACCTCCGTCATGTGCTATGTAGATTATCTCTCCTCTGTCTCTGCTAGACTTGTACAGTGAACTGGCCATCCATCATGTGGTATGTAGATTATCTCTCCTCTGTCTCTGCTAGACCTGTACAGTGAACTGGCCATCCATCATGTGGTATGTAGATTATCTCTCCTCTGTCTCTGCTAGACTTGTACAGTGAACTGGTCTCCATCATGTGGTATGTAGATTATCTCTCCTCTGTCTCTGCTAGACCTGTACAGTGAACTGGCCATCCATCATGTGGTATGTAGATTATCTCTCCTCTGTCTCTGCTAGACCTGTACAGTGAACTGACCATCCATCATGTGGTATGTAGATTATCTCTCCTCTGTCTCTGCTAGACTTGTACAGTGAAATGGTCTCTATCATGTGCTATGTAGATTATCTCTCCCCTATCTCTGCTAGACTTGTACAGTGAACTGGTCTCCATCATGTGCTATGTAGATTATCTCTCCTCTGTCTCTGCTAGACCTGTACAGTGAAATGGTTTCCATCATGTGGTATGTAGATTATCTCTCCCCTATCTCTGCTAGACCTGTACAGTGAACTGGTCTCCATCATGTGGTGTGTAGATTATCTCTCCTCTGTCTCTGCTAGACCTGTACAGTGAACTGGCCATCCATCATGTGGTATGTAGACTGTCTCTGCTAGACTTGAACGTTGAACTGGCCTCCATCATGTGGTATGTAGACTGTCTCTGCTAGACTTGTACGTTGAACTGGTCTCCATCATGTGGTATGTAGATTATCTCTCCTATCTCTGCTAGACTTGTACGTTGAACTGGTCTCCATCATG